ACACCTATAACATAAATATTAACCATTTTAATTTATACATAATATCATTTTTAACACATATATATTTGATTAAATGTTTTATCTTTTATTAATAACAAATAGAAATATAGACGTTAAAAACGTTTATATGTCTACATAATTTTTTTATAATTAATATTTTTAATTTTATTTATTTTTTATTTTTAAAATATGTTTACTTTCTTTGTAATTTAAAAAAATAATAATTTATCTTTAACCCTTTTTTTATCTCTCTAATAATATTAAAAACCAATTATACTGAGAATAACAAAATAAATAATAATAAAATAATGATTAAATCTTTATCTTAAGATAACATGGTCTGTTTAATTTCATTATGTTCTTTTATATAGGATATAGTATCATAGATTTTGTTTTTCAAAGAAATTTAAATTTATAGAATGAATAGTAAATACCACTAATGCAAATAAACTATAACAAAATGTTATAAATAGATTACTTAAGCATTTCCATTAAAACACTCTTACACCTTTTATTCTAATAATTTTGAAGTTAAGTGCAAATTTTAAAATATATAATTACGAATATCTTAAAAAAATTGCTTAAAATTAAATAATTTGAGTAAAAATATAATGAATCTCTTATGGGTTGCTTAAATACATTATGATATTATGGGATTCAATAAAATAAATAAGATTGTTATTTTGAGTATTATCAGTGTGAATGCTCTTATAAGACCTAACTTTTTATACTTTTTATTAGAACAATTTATGATCAATGTTATCCTCATAAAAGAATAAAAAATAAATTACTACAATATATATGGGGTTATTCACAGGAGATTTTTTAACTGTGTTTTTTTTAAGAGAAAAAATTATAATTCAAAGAAAAATAATTATCATGATTTATATATTTTAAAACATAATAAAATATGAAAGAAAGAAAATATAATATGTAATAAAAAAATAAAATTAAATAAAAATAAAACAAAATTTGAAAAATATTTTTTAAAAAATAACTCTACAAAATATGTGAATACGCTTGTATTTTCACTATTATAAATAATGCTAAATTACATTATTTAAAAAATTTAAGTGGTAAATTTATATAATAATAATAATTATTATTATTATTATTGATATTGAGTGACAAAACCTTTATTAGTCGAAAAAAATAATCACAAATATACTATCTAAAATTATAATGATGAATCAAATTAATTCGTTAAAAAAGTAATAGAATCATCTCCAACTATAAATTCTAATTTAAATTGGGTAAAATATATATTTTATATAATAACTATTATAAATATTTATGTTTAATATAATTAAAAAATTTTGGTCTGAATTTTATATAATATTAATTATTCTATTAAGTTTTTAATGTGAATGTTAAAAGATAAAAAGTTAGTTTTATATTAAACTGATAAATGATGGGTACATGTTTATGGTTTTAATTGTAAAAATTTTTTGATTACATAAAAGATGATTATTAAATATAAATGGTTAATACGAGAGATAATATATAACAAATTGTTTTCACATGCTGCTAAATAACACTTAAATTCATATATGAATATACATAATATGGGTATTATATATTTATTCTCTATACTTTTATGTGAAATTGAAAATGGTATTTTTGTCAAAGTTGACATAAAAATTATTCTCATACTTTTGAAATGATTGGAATATGTCTCTATTTTAAACGGTATTAAATATATGGTGATTTGTATAACGGAGATATTATGACTAATTAATTATTTGACATGTGTAATTATTTTAAAAAAAAAATAAAGCCCTTCTTTAAAAAAATAGAAATTATTCAACAGAGATTATTATTTAAAAAATAAAAAAACAAAATTAAAAAGTAAAAGTTTTTCTTTTCTCCTCACGCACTAAAGCTCTTCGGTTCCGTCACAACCACTTTTCATTTTCTCTTCTCTTCTCATCACAACTACTTTTTCGTTATCTTTTCTTTTCGTCACACACCAAATGTCTTTTTTTCTTCCCCTTTCTCTGTAAAGATTGTATGAAGTCAAATTGACTTTGAAGTTTGAGGGTTCCATCGATTCGTTGTGCTTTGGTCGACGATGCGACAGATGGTGCACAACTGGCGATGTGCGACGAGTGGTATACCATAGCTAGAGTTTTCTTTCTAAATGCCTTTTAGATTACTTTTAAATGTTATAAATGCGGATTAAAATGACCTTTAAAAGCTTGACACATTTTAATTTTTAAAATAATTACACGTGTCAAATAATGGATAAGTCATACTATTTTTGTTAGACATGTCAGCATATACTTAACGTCGTTTAAAATAGAGACATATTTCAATCATTTCAAAAGTACAGAGATTATTTTTATGTGAACTATGACAGAGGAACTATTTTCAATTTCACATAAAAGTATAGGAACTAAAAACATACTTAACCCTATATTGTATTTATGGGACATAAAACTAACAACTTATTTAATTATGTTAATTGCAAACTTAATCAAATAATTAATAATGTATAAAAATTAAATAAAAAAGTAATTATATTAAATATAAATATTTTATATAATTATTGTATGAAAAATATATTTTATTCATTCAAATGTTTGAATTAAAAAAAAGAGTCAAATTAAGTAAAATGTTAACATGTAACAAAAAATTATAAATGACTAAGTTCTTTAAATGTATAATTTAATCAATATTTATAATTTCAAAATTTTACTAATGATGTTACTAAAATTTATTTTTTAAAATATTTAAGCATCATTTTTTCATCATCATCGGTAGTTTTATAATTAAATAACTAAAATAATAATATAGTATCCTATTTTTTTGCCCCTATATCCCAAATAAACTTAGAAGATACACTTATATATAAAATATATTCAAATTATTAAAATATTTTCAATGTTTATTGGGAGATTGGGACTAGGATATCGGTTTTCTTTTATTTTTTAATTAATAATCAAGGATTTATTTTTAAATATGTTTAGAAGTCTCTTATCATCAAAGATTCAAAATTAAGGATATTTTATATATAACAAAATCATTACAAAATTAAGTTCTAAATAAATAATATTTTAAATATAATAATAAAACTTAATAATATTATCCTAATAAATATGAACTCTACATATTCTCATTTTTATGTATATAAAAAATTTAAACTCATATTTTAATTCATGATAAACATATAATAAATAAATAAAATTGAGTTGATAGATATTCACGGATTTATACCGCAGATACTCATTTGTTAGTTATTTTTATTTAGATGTTTTTTTTAAGATATAAGAATCAAAAGTAAAATTATTGAAACAAATATTAATAATTGAGAAATTATTTAAAATTTGATTTTAGAATTTATGTTTTTGATTCAAATTGATAAAATTATTTTTTATTTAAACTTATATTTTTGTTATATAACTTATTTAAATTTATTTTTTAGTAAAACTAATTTTATTTGTACTAATATTTAATAATTAAATAATATTTATATTATATTACAACATAAAAAATATTTTAGCTTATATTTAAAAAATAATTTTATTTAAAAATTAACTAAAATAAAAAGATGCATCAATGAGTTCAATAGCCACAAATGTAAAATAAGACATAAACATTTTTCAAATTAATAATATAACGAATAATTTTAACTGATTAACTTGTATTCACCCAAATCATACATACATGAAAATTAAATATATTAACTCCAATTACATTATAAAATTCCTCATTACAACTTCTATGTAAATATATAAATCTTAAATCTTAAATATATTAGTATATATTAAAATAAATTCTAAATATATTAATCTGTCAGGATGATTAAATTTATTTAAATTATTAAATTTAATAATTTTTAAATATAAAATTATTGATTAAGATATGTGATAATGAACCGTATATAAATTTTATATGTTTTTAAGCTTCTAGTTTAATTATCATCACATCTTAAACCATGGGAAATAGTCAATTGTTATCCTCATAATCATCACTAGCTATTGGTTTAACAATTATTGTTTCTCAAAATTTGTTCAATAAATTAAACAACACGGCCATGTTCTAATATTCACGCCGGCCACGGGCGGCGGCAGTAGAGGCGGCTCCACCAATTTTGCCGATAAAAGCGATACCTTTGGTATACAACATTTTTTTAAATTACCCAAAACCATTTTAATATTATTTCGCCAAAAGAGACAATTATTTTGATTTAAAAAAAGGGAGACAACACCGAAATCGAAACCGGTTTCTCGCGGGATCCAAAGTAAATAATTTTTAAATGCAAAAAATTGCCCTTTTTTAATTTTATTTTTGTGCAATTTTCCATTTTTTTGAAAATTAATTAAAAAAAGAGAGAAGATTTGGTTGCATATTTGGCATAAAAGGTAAACGCCATGTCATGTACGAATCATGATACACACAGAGAAAGACAGCTTGAAACACTGAATCACGCGCAAATTCGTCTCCCTCAGTTCTTCACCCAAGCCATTGCCCACTGTCGTTCATTGCCATTGCACATCCAATTTTGCTATTCTCTCTCTCTCTAGGGTTTTGTGGGATCTTAATGAGAACAAGCTTTTTTCATAACGTGGTAATACGAACTCTCACCTTCTTTCTAGAACTGCAGTTCTTTTGCGTTCTGATTTCCTCCTCGCCCTTCTTAAACCCTAAAATCCTTTTTGCATCTGCTACTTGAGGGCATCGAATTTACTGTTTTGCCCTGGAAACGCCTGAAGTCGAGGAATTAAGGTACCCGGAGGAAAATCTTTGTTTTTAGTTTCTGTTTCTCTGGGGAAAACGTAAATATCTGTCGTGGAAAATGGGTCGTCTGCGAAAATAGAAAGAACAGGGAAATGTGACTGAATATTTTTCATTTTTTATTTAAAAATTGTAGGGGTGAGTTGTGTTCCTTTTTATAAAGATTTCTTGCAATTGGGTTTTTGTGTTTGTCCTTTTAGGGGTTTGGAGTGAAGCGTTTGGGAATGGTTAGAAGGGTGACTGTTTAGCATTGAGGCGTGGAAATGGATTCTGCAAGGAGTTGGCTTCAGAAGTTCCAGCCTCGAGATAGAACTCGGGCTGCTGCGAAGAAAAAGGAGGAGGATAGTAATGGAGGAAACGAGGATTTGAATGCGGCGGTGGATGAAGCAATGCTTTCCAGTGTCACTAAGCAGAAGGTCGCAGCAGCCAAGCAGTACATTGAAAACCATTACAAGGAGCAAATGAAGAATCTTCAGGAGAGGAAGGAGCGGTATGATCCATTTTCTCTTTCATTCTGATAATGTTTTATGCATCGGGAAACGTCAAGTGTTGACACTTGTTTGTTTTCTAACCTTTATAACCATTGTACATCTAAGAGAAATTGGAAAAATTTAATGAGATTCAAGGTCATTGGCACATATCACAAATTCTTTTAGTGTGGTATGGTATGGTAGCTATAAAGTTCTGATAGTTTACTGGATCGGAACCTACTATTGTAGGAGATGGATTACTCTCTTTTCTTTCTGTTGAGGGGCATGTGAAAATTGCTGGAACTGGAATTTGCTTAAATGTTAATGTGTACAGTGTTAGTTGCTTTGGCAAACACATGTTCAACCTTTGTAACACCTCACTTACTATAGCAGTCGAACCATCTTGGAAAAGAAGTTGGCGGATGCTGATGTCTCTGAGGAGGATCAAAACAACCTGCTTAAATTTTTAGAGAAAAAGGAAACTGAATACATGCGACTTCAGAGGCATAAGATGGGTGTTGATGATTTTGAGTTATTAACAATGATTGGAAAAGGAGCATTTGGGGAGGTATGTATATAATTATCTTGATATGATTGAGCATGCTTTTTTCCTCCAATTTCTTATCAATGTTTTAAATCTCGGATAGTAGTTGTCTCCATTAACACTCTAACAAGATAGTGGGATAGCCGCTTTTTAATTTTTTTTTAACATAGTTTATATAATGTATACTAAATACATATGAATTCTCAAAAATGAAAAAAATTGTAAATACAAGTATTAACTTAGTATTATGTGAATAGTTTGGGCACAGTTGCCAACAACTTATTACTAATATTTTTATTGGATTCACATTTTTCCCTCCGCGATGAATATAACCTTACTGCTTTATTGGAATGGGATTACAATATGCAAATGAAAAAGTTTTATTTTCCTTTCATTTTTCAAAAACAAACTCCAACTACATCTAACTCATGCTGAAGAAACTCAACCGATAAAAGACTGATTTTTATCTTAAATAAAGAGTAGGTTGAAGATTGTATTTGTTGAAGCATTTACTCATTTGTGAACCACAAATTAATTTTTGGATTTTGTGTTCAAATGGGTGACATAATTATCCAATTTATCTCCTCTCTCCCTCTTTTTACTCTGAAAATTGAAAATTTTCAGGTCAGAGTCTGTAGGGAGAAGACTAGTGGTCATGTTTATGCAATGAAGAAGCTTAAAAAATCAGAGATGCTTCGCAGAGGCCAGGTTTACAATCATTGGTCTTGCTAGATTATGTTATTGTTGATATTAGTAATTTAAATGTCTATGGTCAATAAGTTCATCATACTTATTCACATTTGTTAATATTTCAGGTCGAGCATGTTAAAGCTGAAAGGAATCTTCTCGCAGAGGTTGACAGCAATTGCATAGTCAAACTTTATTGTTCTTTCCAGGATGATGAATATCTGTATCTTATTATGGAGTATCTACCGGGTGGGGATATGATGACTCTACTAATGAGAAAGGATACGCTAACTGAAGATGAAGCCAGATTTTATGTAGGAGAAACAGTTCTGGCTATTGAATCTATACATAAACACAATTATATACATAGGTATGAATATTCTTGTTCATTTACTTCCAGAGAAGGCCTATTTCTTAAACATTTTTATGCAGCGATATCTTCTAATTGATTCTGGTATAAAATTTGAGTTAATTTCCAGAATATACTGTTACAATTGTGAGGCTTGCTTAATTGATACCAAAATCCTTTAAAAATGATCTAATTGTGGAAACTGTTGATGTATGAAGCCACATTTATTTGTTTGTGTTTATATTTGAAACTAAATCAAACTTAATCAGTTATCCAGTATATGGTTTGTCTACTTATTTTGTGTTACAGGGATATCAAGCCAGACAATTTATTACTTGAAAGACAAGGACACTTGAAATTGTCAGATTTTGGACTTTGTAAACCATTAGATTGTAATACACTCGAAGAAAAAGATTTTTCTTTGGGTCAGAGTGTGAATGGATCAACACAAAATGAAGAGCGGACAGCTCCTAAACGCTCACAACAAGAACAATTGCAACATTGGCAAATGAACAGGCGAACACTCGTAAGTTCACAGCTATAACACCATTAAGTTCTGAATTGCTTTTATTTGTTATGATAACATGCAATTGTAAAACTTGATGTGATGTAGCGAAATAGACTGACAAAGTGTTCATGTCAAACCTCCTATCCGCTCCCCAACCCAAAATGAGAAAAATAAAATAAATGCCTCCATTAAACTAATGGTTTAAGATAGCGTTCTTATACATTTTTTTTTGTGCTTGTAATATTTGAATGTATTAACCCTTGCAGGCGTATTCCACAGTTGGTACACCAGATTATATTGCTCCAGAAGTTCTTTTGAAGAAAGGTTATGGGATGGAATGTGATTGGTGAGTTTTATATTTGTGAATGTTGGCATGTTATCAAATATGAAATTCTCTATGCTATGGTTTATGTATATCATAACGTTTGAGTTTATCATTTAATTCATTTTTGGTGATCTTTTCAATAATATTCAAGTTTCAACCTCGTTTTGAAATCAGAATTCTTAATTCCATCTCTGGGATTCAATTTGGGAAAATTTCCTTCTTTTTATTATTATTATTATTATTATTATTATTATTTCCCTTTAAAATATTATAGAAGCATATTGCGTTCTGCTTCATTTATGTGGAATTTGTGAATATAAGATCTAGGCTACATATTTTATTTTGATGCAATGATGGTTTTACGAAATTCACAGGTGGTCACTTGGAGCTATTATGTACGAAATGCTGGTGGGATATCCACCTTTTTATTCTGATGATCCAATGTTGACTTGTAGGAAGGTAGTGTTTTTTGAAAGAAATGTTTATTTTGATTAATGCTTGTTTGAAATTCACTTTTGTAAAGGGTAAACTTTATATAAATGCAGAGTGAATCATAATTGATATTTAGAATGCATTCTTTATTCTTCTTTTATGAAGTACAAGCAATCTGATAGCCATTCCTGGATTTCAGAACTTAATTCTTTTGATTTTCTCATCAATGGTAATCTGTTAGAGATTCCCAATTATTAACAGTTAGTTAATTACAATAGAGTGTGTTTGGGAACCTGTTTTCATTATCATTGCAAATGGAAATCACTCTTTCCATGGCATGAAATGGAGAATCAACATTTTGTATCATTGACGTTGAACATCTGCTTGGATGGTTTGAACTGATAAGCAAACACTGTTAATTAGACATATGCATCTAGTTTTTAAAATTGGAGAGGTAGAAAAAAGTGGCATTAAAATGTTCTAGAACAAAGCTGGAGCTCATTTGCAAAGGTTGGAGGAGAGTTCTTTCTTCTTGATTTATTCATTTTTTCAGTCAAGTTTTAAAATCACTTTTCATTTCCTCTATATTTCCATTAAACAGTTTCCCAACCTACAGTGTAGTGTAACCTACACTTTATAGTAGCAAAATCCTGTTAACATAATTGTGTTGAATTTTTCTAAATTTCATAGAGCAAGTTAATCTTGATTTCTCTCTTGTGCAGATAGTAAATTGGAAAGCTTACTTGAAATTTCCTGAAGAAGCTAGGCTGTCCCCAGAAGCTAAAGATCTTATTAGTAAACTTTTGTGTAATGTCAATCAGAGGCTGGGGTCAAATGGTGCAGATGAAATAAAGGTGCTGTATGGTGTCTCATGTTCTAAATTCATCGGTTTGCTATAATTCATATCTTTCATATGGATTTTACCTTTGTGCCATATACTTCTTTAGGCTCATCCATTCTTCAAAGGTGTTGAATGGGATAAGCTGTATCATATGGAAGCTGCATTTATTCCTGAGGTCAATGATGAGTTAGACACTCAAAATTTTGAAAAGTTTGATGAGGTATTTGAGTCACTTACATTCTCGCTCGTGTAGCTTGTTGTTAGCAGTGCCTTGTTCACTTTTGCTCATTTTATCTTTTGCATTTGTAGTCTGACAGCCAAACTCAATCATCATCAAGATCTGGTCCATGGAGGAAGGTAATCTTAGGCATTTCCTTATCTGTGGAAAAAATGTTCCCAAGTTATCTATAGAGCTAGTGTCACCTTCTGGTTGAAATGATGAAGTAATATCCATGCCCCCGGGTTGTATAGGAAAGTACAAAGAAAATCAGTTAGTCATCATTTTGTAATTTGAATTACTTTACACGGCTGTGATTTATGAGAAGACTGTTGGTATACCTATCAGTCATCATGAGTTGTGATAGTTGTTGAGATGGTACAAACCATAGACAAGACCAAAGTGGTAGGAAAAATTAGTTATTCATCATTGTTTTGTTTATACTTTGAATTACTTATCTTCTTCATACTCTTGATATGAATAACATTTTGGCTTGCACTCTGATATCCAACTAGTATTACACTTTGTCAAACAAGAATTCACACTTTCCCTGAATTCTTGCTGAAACTCAATTTATGGCTCGTGTTGACATGTGTATTTGTAGGCTTTGCTAAAACGTCAGCACTAGGTTAGCAATAACTTTGATGATATAGGGTTATTTATATCTGATTGGGTCTGAATTATATTAATCTATACTCAGGGCAATTCTTGTCAACCCATTATATAAAACTTACTAGTGTTTAACATGCTTATACTTGCTATTAGCAGTGGCCAATGGGTGTCACAAGTTACAATTGTTGGTTATTTTGTTCTTTACCTGAAATCTGTCACAATTTTTAACATTTTTTCTTGCTGCCTTGTAATTCTCTATCTTCAATTTGTTAATTTCAGTTGTTTTCTCCTCCCTATCGATTTCCTTTATCTTTTTTTTTTTTTGGTTGAGATGTTGCAGATGCTTTCATCTAAGGACTTAAATTTTGTTGGATACACATACAAGAACTTTGAAATTGTCAACGATTATCAAGTTCCGGGGATGGGTACGTTTCTTTTTTGGTTTTCGGTTTTCACTGCTTCAAATTGTTTTATGTTAATATGTTTGCTGGAGATTCTATTTTGGCTATGGTCATAGCTATCATGCTTGTTTTGTTAATATATTTTATTACAAGAGGAATATTCAGTTATTCAAAATCATATCGGAGAATTATGGTTAAGGAGTGTGTAGGTATTTCCAACTTAGATACTGATAAACACTGGTAGGATATGAAAGGAAATAGATGATATTGTAGGACAATTCCTTTATGGCCAAGCAGTATAACTCAAGCTTAGAAAATGAAACCAGATAAAACAGAAAATAACAATGCGGAAAAGAAGATAACCAGAGTTCAAGATGCGACCTCTGTCCCCAAGGCAAATGCCTGACTAATACCTCACCCAATTTAAGTCTTGCCCTTTTGCTACTCTCTCCTACCCTATAAACAAACTTTCATTATATTTCCCATCATGACAGAATATTTCACTCCAATGTCCTCTTGCCTTGTGGACATTTTGTTATGCATGCATATCACACCTTCTAGTTTTTCATTTCCGTGCTTTTAGCCCATTTAGTCTCAGTCCATCTTCCTTGTTTTTACTCCTCTTACAATCAAAAGGCCCAACAGATACTTAGATCAAAGGTGTGAATTGTTTAAGTCAGTAAGTGGCTATTGCATGAACAAATAATAACATTGTTAAGCATTATTCTTTTGGTTAATGGTTCCTTGTGGGAATTTATTTTACCAGTCCAGATGATTAGATCTGGCAGATCTTGCATATGATTCGTTCCGTCTTCTTAGGGGGGAAGGCCCAGATACTATTGGAAGGATATACCAAACCTCAGTTTCATATCAATGAGGGGACATGTCTTTTAAGGCCAGAATGTTGACCATAAAATGTTAAAAGGAAAAAATCTTCGAATTTTTGTGTTTGTCGTTTGTGGTGATTGTATTTACATTTAATGTTCTGGAAGGTCGTGTGTTTTGTTCTTTTCCTTTGACTTTGGCTTCCTCTTGCCTAACAGCTGAACTGAAGAAGAAACCGTCCAAACCAAAGAGGCCAACCATCAAGTCACTTTTCGGTAGGCTTTCTCTTGCATTTGGACCATTCATTACATTCATGCAAGTTGTTATCATTTAGTTTGTGTTGCTCTTTGTACGGTATACCTGTGTTTCTTGCGTGTGATAAAATAAAACTGGCTGACATATGATTGATTGTGAATCAGAAACACCAGAACACGAGGTGTCTGATACACCTGCTCAAGGAAGCTTTTTAAAGCTCTTGCCGCCCCAGTTAGAGGTATCTCGCAGCGACAAGAATCTTCCTCCCAGGTCCTAACAAGCTTGATCTATCCTGTCTCTGACACCGTAGGAATCATATAACTCATAGCATTTTAACCATTTCCATCTTCAAAATTTTCATAGCATTTTGACCATTTCCATCTTTAAGATTTCACTCTTGATGCATTTGGATTTGTTCATCATTATACTAATGGCTTGGACCAGTCTCTTGTCAGTGACCACAACTATTGATTTGTAAATCTCTTACTCCATTCCATGTCCCTTGTTGCACATGCTACACTAAACAAATACCTATTGTCTATGAATACTTGATACCATGTATATTCGTGTTCTCTTTTACATTAATGATAGCAAAACATTACCCGGTAACATTGGAGTGTAATGGTTGACAAGTTATTTGGTAGAAGAACAAGATATGTTTGATTTTTATTTTTTCAAATGTCCCTATTCTGTAATTTGTTATTGTTCGTTTATTTATTTTATTATTATTATGGACGAGATTCCTCTACTTGTTTATTTTCACTTTAGAATTAGAGGATTACTTTTCCTATTATTATTATTATATGGGTAAATAGCATTAAGTTACTTTTTTTTATGCACACTATGAATTCTTCTGTAATCTTCAGCCAAGTTTAGGAGTAATTTACCTACATTCTTATTGACGACGCTTACTACGTCTAATATGTGAAAATTTCCTCACATTTTGACTGGCTTCTTTCGTTCCTTTTTAATGCACTGGGATGGTCCCATACTGTTCTTTATGTATACATCAACTGAGTTTATATCAATGATCGTATTAAAAATATTGGTGGCTTTGAGATTCAGTTTTAATTTGTTACCATTTTATCTTGACAAATTTTTTATGGATTATAAAAAATCTATAAATTATTTTTTATTTTAACTTCTAGATGAGATTTTTAAAAATATCGAAACACTTTAAATATAAAATAATTATAGCCAATGAAACCATTCCTTATGGAGCAGCCTGAAAGAAGAAAATGTCAAAGTGAGAAAATATAATAATAATAATAATATGAGAAAATAGCATGAACCAGCCCACAGATACAGATACCATTATTTTCATGTGCCGTGTCGTTTAAAGCATGTTAGCAAAACAAAATTAATCTCAAACCTCTCTCACCCACAATACTACGCAACTACACATTACAAGTCTAATCAATCATTATTAACTCCATCTTCTTTATTAATCACAACACTTGAATTCTAATCAAAATTACACATCAATAATCTTTCTATATTAAACTGTCATTGTACCATGCTTAAATATTTGGGACGGTCATTGCATACCCCCACACCATTAATAAACCAACTTAGCCATCACTTTCATCCAAAAGGTGCTCTAATAATAACTCAATTAATCAAAGGGGAAGGGGTTAACCTACTTTTAAAGATGAATGCTTCTAACTACATGAATTTAAACTTTGTTATTAACTACTCAATTAAACTTATGGGTGGGGTGTAACTTTTCAAGATTGGAAAAAAGACGTTGCTCACTAAATTTGTGAATTGGATAACATAAGATAAATTATTTCTAGTAACTTAATAAAATTATTTGTGTTTAAATTAGTCTCGTATTTTTATTTTTTTTAGATGTATATTAATTAATGGTTTAATTTTTATGTTTAGGTCAAGAACATGCAATACTTTAAAAATATGAGAAAATATCTCATCACTTCACCCTATTTTGTTTCCAACTAAAATATCAATATTTTACTCCTTTTGAAAAAATGTTCGTTTCCTGCAATATTCTATTCCAAATTATCTTAAGTTCCTCCTGTGTGCCCACTAGAGCCAATATCATTTTAATTATTGCTATAACGATCAGACATAAAAAAAATAAAATAAAAAAAAAAACAGAAGTAATATTTGCAAAATATTAAACTCATATATATAAAATAGAGTACATGATTTCAGTGTGTCTGAATAATTTCCATTTGATTCCAAATTGTTAAGCAACGTAATCTGTGACCTGGGATTTTGATAATTGCAATTCCTGAGTGGCTTTTGCCAAGTCAGAGAGCACTAAGATAAAGAACTCAAAAGCAATTTTCACTACAGTTTATGATGACATTAATCATGTTATTATTTATATAGAGTAGTTGTTCCTTCTCCATCGCCATAGTCACGACAAACAAACACGTCCCTCTCCTAGCTATTCACATCAACTTTGAAAAATAGCTGAAACAGTGTTAAGCCATGTAGTTAAAAGCTTGAAAACATTTAATTTCATTACTATAATTGTAAAATCACTGCCAAATCGACGTGTAATGATTAGCTTCTAGTCACTTATCTTTTTCTTAATGGCTTCATTATGCCGGCCATTCCCTGGAATTGGCAATGTCATTGACAATACAATACAAAATCCCTTTTTTTTCATCAAAAGTTTGCCTTTAAAAGAGACATGAACCTCTTCTTCAAAGCCCCTCTTACACCGTCTTCTCCCTTACTCCACTTCGTTGGGTTTTGCTACTTGTTTCTTTTCCCTATATCTTATTTTATAATCACTTATATTCTTGCATTATTTCATCCTTCTACGATGAAAGTGGGATTCGAGGTGGTTCATGCAAATTATAATCCAAACATGATTCGTCCACACATGCATGAAACATGGGATCACTACTCAAATATTAGTTCCTTCCCATTTTCAGCTCCAACCCCATCAAACTTATATCCAAAGCCAGCAACAGAAAACCACTGCCTAAACTTGGGGCAGAATGAACTCTCTGATTGGATGGAGGAGCACATTGGTGACATCACCAAGCAGCTTGTTGAAGACTTACCAGAAACCACTTCTGGTAACTTGATGGCAAGTAACCCAACAAGGGTTTCCCATCACAACTGTGTTCCCTCACTTTCACCCAACTTCAGTCAAAGAAAACCTTCACGTTTTAGACCCCAATTTGAGATTATCACCAACGACCCCCCAAACTTCAATCTTCACATTCAAACAAACACCTCAGGTTTAGACCATAGCCACAATGTTTGTGATCAAGGGTTGAGCCTGATAACCCTTCTAATGGAGTGTGCAGTGGCAATCTCAGTTGACAACCTGGGTGAGGCTCATAGGATGTTACTAGAGCTAACGCAACTGGCCTCACCCTACAAAGCTTCATGTGCTGAACGTGTTGTTGCTTATTTTGCCAAGGCCATGACTAGCAGAGTGATGAATTCTTGGCTTGGGGTATGTTCCCCTTTGGTTGATCACAGGAGCATTAACTCAGCATTCCAAGTGTTTAACAACGTTTCCCCTTTCATCAAATTTGCTCACTTCACTTCCAACCAGGCAATCCTTGAGGCAGTGAACCATTATGACAGCATTCACATCATTGACTTGGACATCATGCAAGGGCTTCAATGGCCAGCTTTTTTCCACATATTAGCCACCAGAATGGAGGGTCCACCACAGGTCACAATGACAGGTTTGGGAACCTCAATGGAACTCCTGGTTGAAACTGGGAAACAACTCTCAAACTTTGCAAGAAGGCTTGGCATGTCATTGAAGTTCCACCCTATTGCAAGCAAGTTTGGGGAAGTAATTGATGTGTCCATGTTACATGTAAAGCCTGGTGAGGCAGTGGCAGTGCATTGGTTGCAGCATTCACTCTATGATGCAACTGGAGCTGATTGGAAAACACTGAGGCTCCTTGAGGAATTAGAGCCAAGAATCATCACCTTGGTGGAGCAAGACGTGAACCATGGTGGATCTTTCTTGGACCGTTTTGTGGGCTCCTTGCACTACTACTCCACCCTTTTTGATTCTCTTGGAGCATACTTGCACTATGATGATGCAAACAGGCACCGAGTGGAGCATGGCCTTCTCTCTAGGGAGATCAACAACGTGTTAGCCATAGGAGGCCCTAAGAGAAGTGGTGAAGACAAGTTTAGGCAGTGGAGAACTGATCTTGCTAGGCACTGTTTTGTGCAGGTTCCAATGAGTGCAAATTCAATGGCTCAAGCTCAGTTGATATTAAACATGTTTTCACCAGCTTATGGTTATAGCCTTGCACAAGTTGATGGCACATTAAGGCTTGGATGGAAGGATACAAGCTTGTACACAGCTTCTGCATGGACCTGCAATACTTCTAACTAGCTAGGGTACCTTGATCAATAAGGTTCCTAGCTTTTTGAATGGGTCTTAAAGTGTTCAAACTTCAAAAGTAGTAGCTGGAGAATTGAGCTGTATATTGAGAAGATTGATTGGAACGTTTTAGGGAATAAACAATTCTTTAGCCATATATATATATATATATATATATATATATATATATATATATATATATATATATATATATATATATATATATATATATATATATATATATATATTCATGTTCACATTTCCTTGAAATCTAATTTGGTTGCTTTTGTCAAATATATTCTACTGTGAAGACAAAAAAGTTAATTACTGCATGGGGTATGTTACCAACTTTTTCTTCCATTTTTTTTGGCCTCAGAAGCTGAGGGAATCTTTCTACTTCCTATGTTCTTGGCTCTCATTGGATGCTTCCGTGTCTAGGTAATTAAACCACATGTCCAAACGTGGAAATCAGATGCTACTATCAGACTTCAATTTTTTTTTTCTCTTCTGTGGTCCCAAATGTTGTTTAAACTTAGACATGCACCTGCATATGCCTCTACTTGGATAAACAAATTAATTTCTGAAGCTGCAGAACAAAAGATGAGTTCGAACAACTTCCTCAAGTTTCTTTTGGTTTTGTTTCAACAAGCCTTGTACGTGTGAACAATCAATTAGTTATCCTGTTTTCGTTAATAATGTTGGAGCTACTAAAATTTTGTCGATTTTTTATAACCTATGGTGATGCATGTTTTGCGGAAAATGTGTACTATACAGTGAAAAATGAATAGGGATGAAACTATTCATGCCTTCATTTCTAACCCGATACATTTATTTATTTATTTATTTTTCATATTATCAATCATTCACATAACATATTAATAATAAAGTTTAATAGCAAACTTTCATAAATATATTGTTCTAAAATGTTGATATATATATTTTTTAACAAATGAATAATATTAGTTATGAGTTAACATCCCTTAATTTTTAAAGATTGGAAGATCAATTCTGCAATTAATATTTTATAGGAACAAAAGTTCTACATTCACAAAATTATTGGGAAGAAAACTGAATTTATGGAAAAAAAATTGTTTTATATGTTAATATATTATGCTTTTTTTAATAATGATATGAATGAAGCTATAAACGAAAAAACATATTATACCGTATAAAACTCAAAAAATATATATTTACTTTAAATAAAAATAACAGTTATTTTTTTCTACAAATGTATCTTTCTTGAGAGATAAATTTGAATTAGTATAAATTAATAAACAAATCAAATTTTTTGAAGGAATAAGTAAAATTATTATTTTTTTCTAAAATTTGAAAAAAATAGGGATTAATGTTATATGTCTATATATACATCTTTTATGTTGTAATTTAATCCTATTATTGAAAAAAATAATCCTATTATTTCACACGTTTTATTTGTAGAAATTTTCAAAGGTTATCAACAATAAAAAAAAAACTTTTCTTAAGTCTCCATTTGATAGGGAAGACAAAATTTAATAAAATAAAAAAAACAAAAATATTGTTCTAATAAATAAATAAACGGAAAGAAACATATAAAAATAATTTTTTATTAATCATTTTATTTATAATTACAACATTATTTGTTATTATTATTATTATTATTATTAAAAAAGCAATTTAGAAAAAAATTATTTATATTGTTTATTATCAATTCTAGAAGTAAAAAAAAAATCTTTATATTTATAGCATCATAATCAAGTGCACGAAATAATAAATCATATTGTAAATATTCACTATTTTCTTTAGATGTGAAAAAAAAAACATATAATCTTCTCTTTTTTAACTTTTTACTCTACTAAATAAATACTCAAATATTCTCTCTTTTCACCCAACAATTTTAGGTTAAAAAGAAAGTTGAAAAAAAAAAATTAGGTGATCAAAGGGAGAAAGTCAAAAGTTATAAAAGAGTAATATTTATTTTAGGGGAATCATTTTTTTGGTAGACGATGATATATATATCTCAATCATAAAGTATGGAAATTTCAACATGGAAATGTCATATCCATGCATAAATTCTAGTGAGCTTCATAATCAATCCCTATCAATTATTGCATATTCCATAATTATAGAAGCCTTCATTATTGTCATCACTAGGGTTTATTCTGTGCACCTTCCCTTTCAGCATAAATTACATTATTTTTTTATTTTTTTTATCTTCTTCATCTTAAAATTATCACTTTTATTTTAGTTAACATAATTTTAGGATTATGATTGTATTCATTGTGACATAAAACGTATATTAAAAAAGTAGTGCAATATTTTCCTTTATAATATGTTGTAATATTATAGGTGTTCAAGAGAGTTTATGAAAGTGTTCTTTTGCTCATAAATTTTTAGATAGAAAAGTTTATTGATTTTTTTTTTTTGCAGTTTGATCCAATAACATTCATAATTTAGTTTGTAAATATTGTTTTGTTTAAAAGAAGTTTTTAAATTAATCGGAAATAAATAAAAAAATACGACATGTGGTCGAACATGGGCAAGAAATATGATTTGAAAAATATTGTATTTTTGGTTTCTTATAATATCAATATGTGATTTAATTTCTTTCTTAATTACACAATTTGAGTTTCTAATTAAAAAAATCAATTTTAATTTTTATGATTTGACATGTTGACTTCGATATGACATTTTAATGTTAATGTGACATTTACGTTGACTAAAGACGATAGTGATTACAATTTTAATTTAGAAAATAATAGAAAGTGTTGAAATGTGCTACAAATCTAGAAACCATGAATTTTATTTTAATTTTTTTAACTTAACTGCAAATTCATTCAGTTACGATAACAACATTACTTCATATATATATATATATATATATATATATATATATATATATATATATATATATATATATATATATATATATATATATATATATATATAATATTACTTTAAGACTTGATTTTTTTAAAATTTTATTTAATATTATATTTAAGGTATAAATTTATATAGTAAAATAAAAAATAATATAAATTATTCTTTTAATATTTTATATAATCAATATGTCTTTTATTTCCTACTAACTTATTTTTTTCTCATGTTTTTATTTCACTCACAAATTTATATATTTTATTCTAATACTATAATATCATAAACTTACAGTCAAGTTAAAAAAAATGAAAAAACAAAACAAATTGTATAGTTTATTACTAATTATATAAAATATAGATATCATAGTATTTAATATATCGTTTTAATATATTAACAAATGGGTCAGTATTGTATTACGAAAATAATATATAAACTAGTGACGTGGTAAAAAATATTTATGAAAATTGGGATAAAAATGAGATTAAACAAAAATAAAAGTGATTGTATGGAAAAATATAAAATAATAAATTATATAATTTTTTTTCGCTATCTAAATTTATTATTTTAAACTATATTTATGATAATGTTAAAAATAAATTACATAAATTAGGGCTGCTGTGAAGAAGACTATATATATTAAAAATATAATTAATATAGGCTCACTTGGTATATATATATATATATATATATTAAAAATATAATTAATATAGTCTTGTTTAGAGTAATTTTAACTGGAGTTGGTTATGCTTCCAATAGTTTATAAGTAATGATGTTTATAAGAAATTATTATTAGAGTAATCTGACAGTTTTAATAATTTTGAAAAGTTAAGTGTTTTATCTTATTGAATTATCATTGTTGTTTAATATTTTATATTTTAATTAATATTAATAATATTTTTAATGTCAATTTTATTTTTAATTTTTTAAATTTAAATATATTATTTATTTTATTTTAATAATTAATTATATATTATAATTATTAACGGTTCTATTAAAGTAAAAAATTGTAATTAAATGATAAGTTTCTTCTAAGAACTTATTATTAAAGTGAATTTATCAAAATTTGAAAAGAGTTATTTAAATATGACATGTCAGCTTGTGAATCCCACTTAAGAATTGAACCTAAAAATCTACCATTGAAAATCCTCTTAATTTAAATATTTAAAAAACAAATCTAATTAATTATATAGATAAAAGTTATTTTTAAATTACTTAATTAATAATAGACGATTCACAAATTATCATACACTTGAGGTTAATCCACTTTAAATTTTTATCTTGATTTTTATATTTGATAATATATTTATGTTTTAGTTATTTTTTATTTTATTTTGAAAATTAATAGTGATAAAGGAAAATTGTGATCTAATCACAAAAATTTTGCATTAATTATTCAAAGTAAACGTCATAGATGTAGAATAAGTATGAAGCTAGGTGTTAGACTTACTGAACAAGAAAAAGAAAATAAACAATAGATATTTAATTGAAATTCATAATAATTCTTTTATAATTTATATGGATTATTATATTTTATGTTTATGAATTAAAATTTATAAAAAAATATATAAAAATTAATGTGTGTATGATATATATATATATATATATATATATATATATATATATTTAAAAACTTGTTCCATAAAGAAACAACCCCAATAATTAAAAACTTATTTAAACCTAATTAATTGTACAAATTTCTCCTATTATTATTATAAAAAGGGCATTTTCCACCAAATGCTTTGACAAGTAAAAGACTATCATAATTGACCTGAATCCCGTAGCAATGTACGAAGACAAAGAAAAAAAAGGAAAACAAAAAATGAAAGAAAAATAAAAGAAAAAGACAAGAATGAAAAAGGAGAAAAAATATTAAGAAATTAAGGAAAACACTTTTTGTTTTTTTGACAGCACAAACATGGACGGCAGACAGAGAAGGAATCGGGTAACCTCTCCTATTACGTCTCTTTTTCTGTGATTTTTGTAACAAAAAAAAGATAAAAAAACTCAGTAAAATTGATTTTTTAAAACAAATGAAAAATAATGACAATAAGCCTGACAAAAACTACAAGGAAAATTGTATATATTTAAAATTTAAAATAAAAATCCAACCAAAAAAAGGAAACAGGATTCCTATAATCTCATGCTTGGTTTTTTTCCAT